TGCTCCTTTAACTTGTGGGTCCTCAACTATTTTGTCCCAGCTACAAACAAACAATTAAAACAGAAGCAATAAGTAAATAATCCAGGGGCTTTGCAGAAGATACTAATGTAAAGCTAGCTGTGCTAAACAAAACTGGATAAAACATGAATGACCAGTTTAACAAACAATTAAGACTCAATGTAAGAGTTTCAATCAGAAACCCAGAGCCACAGCCACATGTGATGGTTCAGCCTGTAATCCCAGCACTCAGGAGGCTGAGCCAAGAGGATCACTGAGTTTGAGGCCAGCCTGGGAGACAAAGTGAAGTTCAAGGTCAGCCTGAAATACAAGTGAAACTCTGTCTCAAAAAGACAAATAATAAGGAGAGAGAGAGAGAGACAGAAACAGAAAGAAAAGAAATCCAGAGCTAGATATGGTGACACAAATCTGTAATCCCAACACTCAGGAGGCTGAGACAGGGGAAGCATCAAGAATTTGAGATCAGCCTGAGCTGTAAGGTCAAGTTGAAGGCTAGCCTAAATTACAGAGTAAGACCCTACCTAAAAAAACAAAAGAAATCCAAGAGACTGAAAATTATATAAAAAGTATGGGCAGCAGAAGGAACCAGTAATGTCAGGACAGAATTTCAGAACTAGAAGATAATGATGCCTTCAAAAAGCAACTACTCAGACAATTTAAAAAACTGCACAAAAACACCTGAAAAACTACTCAGAGATAAGAAAGAGCCAGCATGGTGGCACACACCTATAATCCCAGTTCTTGAGAAGCTGAGGCAGGATCACTGTAGGCTCGAGGTCAGCCTGGGCTACAAAGGGAGTTTATAGCTAGTCTGAACTACATATTGAGACCTTGTCTCAAAAAACTAAAAAACAAAACAAAACTAGCAAGACAGCATGAAAAACTCATCCAACAGCTAGCTGCTAGATGACACAAAAACAAATTTAAGCCAGGCATGTGCTGGTAATCCCAGCTCTCAGGAGGCTGAGGCAGAAGGATCTTGTGAGTTTGAGGCCCACTTGGGCTACACAGGCCAAATTCAAGGCCAGCCTGCACTACATAGTGAGACTCTGTCTCAAAAAAAGCAAAAAAACAAAAGAAAACAAAACAAAAGCCTAAGTGTAAACGGAGTAGGAGAAAAATCAGAAGACAATACAAATGGTGTTAAAAACCTACTCACAGAAATGACAGAAAACTCCCAAAATACAGGGAAAAAATAAACATATATATGCTGAGCATGGTGGTACACACCTGCACACCAGCACTTGAGAGGCTGAGACAGGAGGATGGCTGTGAGTTCAAGGCCAGCCTGAACTGCATAGTTAAATCCTGTCTCAAAACAAAACAAAACAAAATAAGTGAGGCATATAAAACCTTAAATAGCTACAACCAAAAGACAACCTCTCTGTGCCACATTATACTCAAAGTACCAGATATCCATCACAAGGACAAAATCTTTATACTATCAGAGAAAAGCAACGAATCACTTATAAAGGTAAACCCATAAAAGTTATAGCAGACCTCTCAACACAAACCTTAATAAATTCCCACTGGCTTGAACCACTAGTGAGTGGTACCTGCATGACTGTCCCATGGTGGCTTGAACCTCTAGTGGTACAAATGGATCTAATCACTTTACTGGTCTTTTTACTAGTAAAGTTAATGAAAAGTCTATAAATGAACCAAATCTAGTTAATTGCTTGAATTCAAATAATTACCACCAAATATAAATACTATTATCCATGCCAATTAAAAATTATTAATCATCAAGTTTACTTCATTAAATGAAGAGTCATATTCCTGAATTTCTTTAAAACATTTTATACATAAAAGTGGCTAATTTGTACAAGATACATAAAACACTGTATGATTTGGGCTTTTTTGTGGTCACAGTGGTACTCATTTTCCAGGTAGTAAGGCATGTATTACCAGCAGGCAATCAATTCAAGCCAGCAGGACAATAGATTAATCAGAGTTGTCTGGCAGTGTAACATACAAATTATGACCCCTTTTGAATGAGTTAAAAGGCCAGGAGAGCTTGAAGTGAAATGTTTTCAAGCCCTAAAAGACAACTTCCAATTCTAACTTATGTATTCTGCAAAACTTTCATTCAAAATTGATAGAGAAATAAGGTATTTCCAGGACAAGAAGTACCTTAAGAAATTCAAGATAACCAGATCAGTATTACAAAAATTACAAAAAATGTCCTAGAAAGAGACAATGAAGCCAATAATGCCAAAAAGTCATAGCATGAATACATTGGGTGGGATAAGCAACTAAAACAAAAGGAAAAAAAAAGAAGAAAAAACAGCATCAGGAAAATAATTGTGACCTTAGGAATAAGTCAATACCTTTCAGTAATAATTCTCAATGTAAATCGTCTCAGTTTGTCAATTAAAAGATACACACTCGCAGAACAGATAATGAAACAAAACTCAACAATATGTAGTACACAAGAAACACATTTAATTACACAGATTAAAAACCAAAAGGATGGCTGGGCGTGGCAGTACACGCTGTTTAATGTCAGCACTCAGGAGGCTGAGGAAGGAGGATTGCCATGAGTTTGCCATGTAGCCTGGGCTACAGAGTTCAAGGGTAGACTGAGCTACATAGTGATATCCTGTCTCAAAAAAACAAGCAAAAAAAAAAAAAAAAGGAAAAGAAAAGATGGGCATTCGAAGTGAACAGATACTTCTTATATAAAGAAGCACAAATGGCCAATAAATATAGGAATAAAATGCTCAACACCCAGGCCAGCTGAGAAATGCAAATTAAAACATTGAGATTTCATCCCACTGCAGAAAGAATGCCTATCTTCAAGAAATCAAACAATAAATGCTAAAGAGACTGCAGGCAAAAAAGGAGCCTTTGTTATTGGTGGGACTGTAAACTAGTAAAACCACTATGGAAACCAGTATGGGGATTCCTCAAAAACACTTACACTAGAAATTCAATTTGACCTAGCTTCTAGGCATCTTCCTGAAATAATTAAAGACATCATACTACAGTGATACATGTATATCTGTTTATAGCAGCATTCATAATAGCTAAATCTTGGAAGCAGCCTATATGCCTATTAACAGACAAATTCATTAAAAATTGCAGTATTTCTATACAGTAGAATACTACTCTGCCATAAAGAAGGATAAATTTGCTGGGTATGAAGGTGTACATCTGTAATTCCAGACTTGGGAGGCTGAGGCAGGAGAAGTGCTGTAAATTTCAGGTCAGCCTGAACATAGTGAGTTCAAGACCAGCCTGAACTTCAGGGAGAGTTGAAAGAAAGAAAGAAAGAAAGAAAGAAAGAAAAAAAGAAAGAAAGAAAGAAAGAAAGAAAGAAAGAAAGAAAGAAAGAAAGAAAGAAAGAATTGAACTTCTCTTCAAGTCATGGGTATTAGGTATTGTATCCTAGTAACAAGAAAGTGACTAAGATACCAAAAAAAAAGAGATAAACTTAAAAATGGGTGCACTTTGAGATCAAAATGCTGAGTGAAATAGATACACAAGCTGAAATAGTGTGAGGTCTCATTTTTTTTTTGGTACCTGGGATTGAACTCAAGACTTTGCACTTGGCAAATCCCTGGCTCCACATGGTTTCTCTCATGTAAGAAACCAAATATATAAATAAAATACAAAATTAAGGACAATAGGGGAAAAAAAGAAAAAGTTATCGTAATCTAGCATGGCCAAAGTATCTAAAAGTGTACCTTGATCTAATATAAATTATTTTATGTATTTTATATTCATTTTTTAGCTTGTTAGGCTGGCTGCTAATCTGTTTATAATTAATTTGATAAAGACTTAAAATAAATAAATTTCATGCTGGCCAAAAACACCACCACCACAATCACTGGGAGGGACAGAGGAGAAAGGGTAACAAGAGAATTAAGATGTGTTATGTACATACACCAATATGCCACAATGAGGGTAATCATGATGTACTACAAACATGTACTAATAAAAATTTTTTAAAATAACCCACTAGCTGGGCATGGTGGTGCAAGTAACCCCATCTACTCAGGAAGCTGACGCAGGAGGATCAAATGTTTAAACAGCTTAAACAATTTAGTAAGACTCTGTCTCAAGATAAAATTTCACAAAGAGAATTGAGATGTAGCCCAGTGGTCCCTGCTTTCAATTTCCAGTACCACCAAAAAAACCCCAAAAAACAATAAACTCAAATAAATGAGTAAAAGAAACCTAATAAGACATTTCTCAAAAGACAACACACAACTGGCCAACAGATCTATGACAAATGTTCCATGTTACCAATCAAAACTACAATGAGATACCACCTCACACATGTTAAAGTGGGCATTATCAAAACGACAAAAGATAACGAGTATTGGTAAGGATGTAGAGAACTGGGAATCCCTCTACACTGTTGCTAAGCACATAAACTGGTATAGACATCATGGAAAATTATATGGCAATTGCTCAAAAACTTAAAAAGTGAATTGTTTTATAATCGAGCAATCCAATTCTGGGTAGCATCCAAAGGAAATGAAATCAGTACCTCAAGCAGGTATCTTCACTCCTATGTTCACTGCAGCAGAATCCACAACTGCTGAAATATGGAATCAACCTGAGTGTGTACCAATGGATGAATGCATAAAACACAGATACACCATGGAATACTATTAAACCTTAAAAAAGAAAATTCTATCATTTGTGACAATACAGATGAAATGTCTTTATGAAAGGCCATTATACTGCCTCACGTAAGCCAGGCACAGAAAGGCAATGCATGATCTCACTTACAGCAACCTAAAAAATGCCAAACTCATAGAAGTAGAGAGTACAGTGGTGGTTGCCGGGGTCTAAGAAGTAGGAAATGGGAAGATGCTGGTCAAAGGGACAACGGTGCAATTGGACAGAGCAATAAAATCTGGACAGCTGAGGTACGGCATGGTGACTGTAGTCCGAGGGTTGTGTTTCCGGCTCGGATGTGACGCCAGCACTGGTGTCAGCCACGCCTGTGCAGAACGGGCCTCTTATACCTTTTCCAGTTACATGATAGGCCCCCAGTTTGTAGCAGCTGTCACTGTGCTGGTTGTCTTCGCAGTTGAACTTCAGCACTTTCGCAGCTTCATCAAAATTCTTCTGGATTCCTTCCAGATAGTCCACCAGCCGATAGCAACCTGCGAGCAGAAAAAGCAAGAACGGCTCACATCCGGAGCTGCTCCTCTGCCATGTGGTGGAGGTGGATGAGTGGGTCAGACTGAGCCTTTAGGACCAGTTCCAGTTTTCCTTAAGCGTGGCAAGCAGCCCTTCTTACAACGAACAGAAGTGATCTGAGCGATTCCTACAAGTGGCCTCCTCTCCCTCAGGGACTGAGCACTGCGTGGCCTGAGGAGACCTTCACCCCTTCCTTCCCCGGCTCACCACCCACCAACCCTTCTGTTCCCTATAGGTCTGGACCAAACGCCTACTGATTTCCATGACTGCTGTGTTTCCAGCTTTGGACTTCTCATGACGTTTGGGCCTTTTCATAAAGTGCAGCAGTAAAAAACATTAAAAAACCAAAAGAGCTCAAAGGCTAAATCTTATAGCAGGAAGTCACGTAGGGGTAACTGTATCTTATTCCTTGACCACGCTGGGAACTTAAAAGCCCAAAGAGGAATAGAAATAGTAGTTACCAAATGAGCTGAAAAACAAACTCCCCCTTCCCACGCCTTGGTGATCTCTGAATTCCAACAAGCTTCCCTCTTTAACATCTCTTACCTCTCTCTCTCTTTATCCCCAACAATAACATACATAGGTTCTTACTCATTTTCACTCAACAAATATTTAAACAACCATATATAAAAAGTGTTACAGCTCTTTTAGAATTTGTCTAGTAGGTTTTCTGGTGTTTGCCGGAAAACCCATTAAAAAATAAAAAAAATTAAAAAAAAAATAAACAACCATATAGATCGTATGTACACAGATACTGGACACGGTCATTTGCCCTCCTAAAATTTACATTTTAGGGGAGTAAGTATGGTAAGTAAATAAGTGAACCAACATATTCAAACAATAAATATATGATTAAAGAAAAACTGGATGATGAATTTATTATTTACGTTGCAGAGAATGAGTAATACAAACAGGTCAATCAAAAAGGGCCTCACCAAGACAATAAAATGGCAAGAGGCAGAAAGTCCTGGCACAAGGAAACATAAAGGAAATAAGCCTGGCATGAATAACATATAACATGACTGAGGAGTGAGATAAGAAATGAGAGGGAGGCAAGTACCAGATCACAGGGCCTTGCATATTATCAGGAAGTGTTCGTGTTTTGTTTTGTTTTTGCAGTACTGGGGATTGAACCCAGGGCCTTGTGCATGCATATTCTGCAAGGGCTACACCACTGAATCTCATCTCCAGCTCTACATAGGATTTTACCACAAGTGCAACAGTAAAACCACCAGAGAGTAAAACCACCTGAGGTTGTAGTTCAGGGTAAGAGCACTTGCCTAGCATGTGCAAGGCCCAGGATTCAATAGCCAGCACTGGTGAGAAAAAGGAAGACAAGATACAATTTGCATTTTAAAAATGTTGGTAGGGTATGTATGTTTGTATATGATTGGATAAATAGGGAGGCAGTTAAGTGTATGTGGGGATACATTTGGGAAATGATAACAGAATAGATTTTAAGTGCCAGCAAGTGAACAGATTAGCCTGCTATTTCGGTTATCCAGATGGAAAACTGACTCCTAAGGAACTAATAATTTAAGAATGATGGTAACCACAGCCCCTTTTCAGGTCTCTTTCTGATTTTCTGGAGCCAGTCCTCAGATGTCCATCTTTGTCCTCTCCGTTTATTCTCACCAGTGCATGACCCATGAGCTTTAGGCTCAAACAATGCAACCTAAAGAATCAAGTCTAAATTCCTCATCCTGACCTCCAAAGACTGACAACTGGTGGCCTCTTCAAACTTAACTCTAGGGGGAGGGATGGAGCACGTGCCTAATGTGTGGGAAGCCCTGAGTTCAATCCTCAGAACCAACTCTCCCCAAAACAGGAAAGAAAAACTTAATTCTGACTACATCCTCACGTTAACCTTCCAAAAGTGTACTTCTCTCACCACATTAACTTAGCATGTGCTTGTTACGTCTAGACTACCCCCAACCACACTGCTTCTCAGTAACTCCAATTTGAAATTTTCCATAATTAGGACATAAACTAGCTCTCTACGAACAATCTGGGGCTTTTTTTCAGTCATCATTCTGCAGAGCCACTCTGTGTAGCTGGTTAGCTTGAAGAAATACAATGAAGTTATACTGTAGAAAAGAGCCTAAATGCTATGAGAAGGTAGGGCCCGTGCCACTTTATCCCTTTAAAAAAATAATTAATACAATAGAGGGAAGAAAACCTCCCAAAGATACTGGTTGCTGCCCCCTCTGGACGCCACCCACCACCCACACACTCAGTCAACTCAACGTCCACACTGGACCAGCTCTACCTACCTCTGCCTAGTGAAGGTCCGCGTGATTCACTCTCTCACCTTCTTCAAGGCTTTGTTCCAGTGCCCTCTGATCAATTTACAATCGTGCTCCTGGACTCCTGATAACTTTCCCCCTACTTCTTTTCCCCACCGCACTAACAGCTAACACACGTTTCACTTCCTTCCGTTCCCTGACCCGTTCCCTCACCTTGAGGATGTAAGCCGGCGGAGGTCAGGGAATTTCGTGCGCTCACTGATTTGTCCTGGTCTCTCCATCCTCCAAACTAACTAGTCGGCCCGTTCCTCCCCGCGGCGCAGAAGCCCACTGCCGCCGCGTAACTCCGTGGCTGGCAACTCCTCTCCCGCCACACGTGAGTCTTACACGCCGCGTCCTCAGCTCGCCACGGGACCCGCCGCGGGTCCCCTCAGGTCCCTAACAACCACACACACGTGTCCCCAGCCTTTGCCAGCGACGCTCACCATCCGGGTCCTTCTCGCGATAGCACTGGTAGTTGCACTCCACTTCCAAATTCTCCAGAAAGGACTTGACCTGCTCCTCGTCTTGGAAATCCACCAAGCCTGCCATTGCCGGAGCTAGCAGAATGCACTTTACCCAGCACGCCCCGCAGTCACGTGACCCGAAGGGGCGGGGCCCTGGCCGGGGCCGAGGGAGGGGGAATGGGCGGGGAGATGAGTTCCGCGCCTTCCATGCCCTGCGAGCCCGGGCTTCCCATCAGCCCTCGCGCAGTTAAAGGCATTGGTGCGCGCTTTTCCTATAGGATGCCTCATTCCTGAAACTGGAGCAGGTCTTCGTGCGTACCTTGTTGGGGCGGGCTTTGTAGCTTTAATGACTTTCTGCCGCAGTCATTTACCCATTTATCCACAGATCCATCCATTAATTCATAAGCCCTAAGCGCTGTGTATTTAACCGGGTGTTTGGTCTGGGAGTCTGAGAAATAGAACTGTGATTCCTACCTGTAAAGAACTTGAAGTGACTGAAATATTTAAATATTTGTACTTAAACACGCTTTTTTTTTTTTCTTTTTTTTTGTACCGGGAATCAAACTCCTACCTTGCGCTTGCCAGGCAGGCGTTTGTGCCGCTAAGCTAAACTCCCGGCTTACCGAGCATTTTGAGTGCTTTCTGTGTGTCACGTGTAGCTGTAAACCGGTAATCGCACGTCTATACAAGTGTAGTGGAAAGCCTGGCTTACCTCTATATTTCTTTGGGACTCATCATTGCCACCACGAGTGACCATGGTTGATAATGGCTGGGTCATAGCAGCAGAAGAGATTATAGTAATAACATTATGGTATTATTATAATAGTCTGTTCAACAGTGCTAAACTTTTGTTTAAGGCTGTATTTCTTTTTCTTTGTTTGTTTCTTTCTTCTTTTATTCCGTCTTTTTGATACAAGGTCCTGCTGTGCAGTTCAGGCTAGCCTTGAGCTCACTTTTTTTTTTTTTTCTTTTTTGGTCTTTTTCTTTTTTATCGGTACCGCGGATCGAACTCACGACCGCCTGCTTGCAAGGCAGGTGCTTATGCCGCTGAGCTAAATGCCCAGCCCCTTTGAGCTCACTTTGTATGCCAGGCTGATCTCAAACTTGCAAGGATCCTCCTGCCTCCGCTTTCCGAGTGCTAGGATTACAGGCGAGCGCCACCGTGTCAGGCGTCAGGCTCTGTTTCTAAGAATTTACACACACATTTAATTTTCACTGTGACATTCATTGTGACAATATAGGTACTGTATCTACAGATGAAGAAACAAGTACAGAAAGGTTTAGTTTTCCTAAGCACACTGTAAGGAGGGAGTTGATATACAATAAATATTTGTTGAATAAAAGAATGAAGTAGAAGAGCAATATGTCAAAGTATGCAGAAGAGAAACTTTGCTTATTTTTATTTTTTCTGCTTAGAATCATCAGTTTCGCAAAGCTGAAACAGAAAGATCTCCAAAGACAGCTCCAATGACAGCTTATTTTTGCTTTTTCTGCTTAGAATCGTCAGTTTTGCAAAGCTGAAACAGAAAGATCTCCAAAACAGAATCCCATTCAACCCTCTTCTAGAAACCCTGGTGGAGGTCAATCTGTGATTTCCCATCATCTATTACAGTGTTTCCCAAGGTTTCAGTGCCTCTAGTCACTTCATTTTTGGGAAGGAATTTAATTGCAGCTGGGACATGTCTTTGAATTCCCAGTTTTATTTTTTCTATGAATTCACAAATAATTCCCGAATAAATCTTTCACAAGATAATGAGATTGCCTTTTCCATCAACTTCTTGAGGTAAATTGACATTCCAACATGATAAACCATATTTACCCATGATTTCTCATATCTCTGATCACCTTTAGGGAAAGTCCTCAGAACACATCCCTAAGACTGAAACAGGAATTACTCTGAGTACAGCATAGATCTGTGAAACAGACTTACATGAGAGTTTGTCATGGGCTCTGGGCCTCTAGTTAGACTCACAGGAGGCACTGTCATGGGCTCTAAATCTTCAGCTGGACTCATGCAAGAAGTTGCCATGGGATCTAGACTCTCAGCTGGATTCTTTGGGTCTTTGTATGTGGACAGATTTCCTGCACTCTTTTGTATTTGACTCTTTGGGTGACCATTATAAAATGATACTATGAAGTATATGTGCTGTATTGCCTCCTTCTTCTTGCAAACCCTGACTACAACAAATGCATTAGGAAACACATGCCTTTGGAGGAGAGTTCTGAATCCATGTCCCATATTTACTAAATCCTGACCTTGAACCAACCATATTTGTGGGAATGCTTGCTACTCTGTAAATGCAGATCCATTGTCAATAGGACTAAAAATTTCTGTATACAATATGTTCAGCATAGTCTCTGTTTCAGAGTAATTCTTGTTTCAGGAATGTTTCTCATCATGCCTATCTCCCACCAAATGTGATTTCTTGTGTGGACCACAGGGTGAAAAATAGAATAGTGGGCTGAGGGTGTAATTCAGGGGCAGAGCTCTTGCCTAGCATTTGCAAGGGCCTGGGCTGGCACCACAACCTCAGAAAATAAGAATAAAGTAAAATAAAGATGATATAGATAACCAAAGACAGCGAAAGAGGAGTTGAAAAGCAGGATAAAGCAATGGGAAAAAAGAATCAAGTTATATCATGTACAGGTGCAAATTCCCTATGATGAATGTGATCATTATGTATACCTAAAATGTACCAACGAACTTAATTTAGGAGGTGGGCGTAGTGGCTCATGGAGGCTGAGGCAGGAGGTTTGCTGAAAGTTCAAAACCAGCCTGAGCTCAAGCCAGCCTGAACTGCATAATAAGACCCTGTCTCAAAAAGACCAAAAAAGTAAAAAAGAAAGAAACAAAAACCAAAACAACAACAAAACTTTAATTTAAAAAACCTGACACACATAGTATTTTTCCTTGATATTTACAGTTGGGTTACAATGAATTGGGACTATCTGAGCAACAGAGGGCAACAGAGAGCTGGTGAAAAGATAACAGAGAGACTGGACCAAGTATAAAGTCATTTATTTTTAAAAGAAATTTAGGATCATTAAGTGGAAAACAGCCTCTTTTTTTCTAGTTCTAGTCTTATATCTGTAGTCTATTCTTTGCTGCTGGGGATCAAACACAGGACTTCATATATGCCAGGCAAACACTCTACCACTGAACTACATCCTCAGACCCACTCTCTTCTTACAAACATTTGTATTTACTTTTTATACTTAATTATTTTTATTACTAAAAGACATCAAATATATGCTTATTATAAATTAATTTCAGGTTCTTCTCCTAATATCCCTTTTATATTAGCAGCTTGCAGACACTGATTCAATTGCTGCAGGGAAATTGCGATGAGAGAAAGTATGTGATTATCCCTGGGAAATCACACAATGAGAAGACAGGAAGAAGCCCTGACTTTTGTACTCCTAAAACTCACAATAACAATCCCAGTTTCTGAAGGAAGGAATTTGAGAGCATTCTAAAACTTGCTTCTTAACTCCAGCCTTAGATTAAACTAATACTTCTTGATCACTATGAATTTAGTACTCTCGATATATTATTGTATTTATTCTTCAATCATTCATCAAACATTCCCTGGGTGCTTTAAAATGACTAGGGCTTTAAAAATACAATGCTGAAAACAGAATATTTCAAAAAGAACCTGAAACCTTCTTAGAAAAGAAAAAGCACTAATTAATAAACACATGATAAATTCCTTGTGGCCGGGTATAGTACATAGGCCTGAAATCCCAGAATTTGGGAGACCAAGGCAGGAGGATAAGAGTTTGAGGCCAAACTGGGCTACACAGCTAGTCTGAGGCCAGATGGGTCTACATAGCTTGGCTACCCTATCTCCAAAAACAAGAACAACAACAAAAAAAAGCTTGCTCCTCCTGGGATGGGGATGTATTTCAATGATAAAGCACTTGCTGAGCATTTGTAAAACTCTGGGTTCATCTCTAGAAAAACAACAAAAAGATGTGCCTCCTAATGATGAAAGAAAAGCCAATGAAAACAGTGTAATGTTTTCATCTATTGGGTAAACACAGATTTTGGCATCCTATGTTTGAAAGCCTGCTGGAAAACTGGCATTGCCAGACAATTGATAGGACTGTATAATACCTACTCTTTGGAGAGCAATTAGCTAACATTTATTAACATTTAATATGTGCTTACTTTTTTATCTAAAAATTCAACTTCCAAGAATGTAAACTACAGAAATTCTCAAATAAATTTCTGCAGGTTTTCATTGCTGCTATTCTTATCATAGAAACAAATATTCAATAGGAGTACATTTGAAAGCAATGTAAACATTAAAAAGAATGAAATAGGCCTATTCATACCAATATTGAAAAATGTTTAAGAGCCAGGTATGGTGGCGTATCCATGTTAATCCTAGTATTCAGAAGGCTGAGGCAGGAGGACTACCACTGGGTTGAAACCAGCCTGAGCTACATAAAACCAATCTATGTAAAGACAACTTAAATAAAATGGAGGCCCTGTCTAAAAAAAGAAAGAGAAAGAAAATATATTTTAGTGCATTACTAAGTGAATAAAAAGATATACTAGTATAACTTTTTATTTATTTATTGAGACAGTTTCACTATGTAGTGCAGGCAAGCTTTGAACTTGTTTATGTAGCCCAGGCTGGTCTTGAACTCACAGTGATTCTCCTGCCTCAGCCTCCTGAGTGCTAGGATTATGGGTATGCACTATCACACCTAGCTAGTATAACTTGAATTTTTCTAAAAATTTAATTTTTAGCCATATGCAGTGGTGTGTCTCTCCAGTTCCAACTATTTAGGAGGCTGAGGCAGGAGGACTGCCTGAGCCCAAAAGTTCCAGGATCACCTGGGAAACAACAAGATTTTGTCTCAAAAATTTAGTTAAAATTTTAAATTTAATTTCAAAATACAATATTTTAAAAAATACACTGGGCATGGTAGCACACAGCTGTAATCCCAGTACTCTGGGAGAGCAAGAGAGAAGGACACTAAGTTTGGGCAACATAATGAATTGAAGACCAGCCTGAAGTATGTAAGAGCTCCTGACTCAATCAACAACAACAACAGCAACAGCAGTAACAACAACCAACCAAACAAACAAAACCCTAGGAAAAACATACTTAAGTGTGAGTAGTTGCTAACTATAGACTAGGAAGGAGTGACAAAACGGCGTACAACGGATTTCCACTCTTTAGTTTATATTTTTATAAGAATCACATATTACTCTTGAAAGTAGACAAAATAAGAAAGTACTTTTAAAAAGCATAACACCCTTCTCTAGATGTCTTTCTCTGTCTTATGGGCCATTTCAGAATAGGTGTTAATATCACTATTTCTCTTTTCAGTACTAGGAAGTGTATTCAGGGCCTCTGCACTGAGCTACATACCCAGGCCTCCACCTTTTTTAAAAATTTTGAGCCGGGGTCTCGGTAAGCAGCTATCCATGCTGGGCTTGAATTTGCAATTTTCCTGCCTTGGCCACAGTGCTAGGATTACAAGCATTAAGCATCACGCCTGGTTTATTATTTATTTTTAAAAGGTAGTTCAGAAAAGTACTGAGATTTTCTCAAGGTCACCAAGTGTAGGGAGCCGAGTGACAGGCATTGCTGCCTCGATGTCTCTCTCTCTCTCTCCTATGGGCACTGCGTCTGCCTACATTAACCATAATCCTCTTCTGCTTACGTCACTTATCCGGATGTGATGGTGACCCTGTTGTATGCATCTGTTTAACCTCTTCCTGTCTCAGCTCCCGCCCTCAGCCTATAAAAGGTGTGATTATTTTCTGACTAAACCGGAGGCTTGATTGGGTTACATCAACTTGCCTTCGTCTCTTTTTGTCTCCCCCATGTCTTTTATTTAATCCCCGTTTCTCCTCCAGGAGTTCCGAACTTGTTGATCTGCAGGCCGGATCAACCAAGTCCGCTAAGCCTCGCTCAAAAGATTTTACATTGGGTGAGCTAACCGCACCGGCCGACTGCGGAGAAGCCCGGCTAATCAAGTTTGCGTGACGTCACTCCGAAGGCCCGGGATTGGTGCTCGCGTGTAACTGAGGGGCTGGGAATGGTGGGGGCGCTGCTGAGGCGGAAGTGGGAGGCTGGGTGTAGTTCGCCTGAGGCTTGTCTACCTCCCATTCATCTTGCGGGTGCCTTTGGCACCCTCGGGTAGGCTTGGGTAAGAGAGTGATGGCGGCAACCTGTTCTTCCTCCTCTGCCATGTCCGTCTCTCCAAGCCGTCCCTACAAAGCCCGCAGGCTTCGGTCACTGCCTCCTGCTCCCAAAGACCTGGAAAGGCTGTGACAGCTGCCGGCCCTAACGTCAGTGACTGCATCATGTGATGCACACATGCAGGACCCGCCTAGCCTTTAGCCGGCACGACGCATTCAGAACCGAACTCGCTGCAACCTTTGCTTCTCTGCCTGCCTCTGAAATTCCCAGGCTGTGGTTTGAGCTGAAAAAGCCCCTGCATTGAGGAAAAGGGGACTGAGGCCCCGACAGGCAGAGGCTCGTCCTTGGGCACCCAGTAGGTTAGTCAAAGAACCCTGACCGCTTCCCTCAGGGTAGCAAGTTAGGTGGCCATGCTTCCATCCTTTTAGCTTGGTGTCCTCCTGACACATATCTCCCTCCTTGCTTCTTTTCCCTCTGTATCCGAAGCAGCAAATGTTAGTAAGAGTCTTAAGGGCCCATTTTTTCTCATTTGCTATGGGATATTGGTCTCCCTTGTTTTAGGAATAAATGAGAAGTTGGGATGCTGGTTAGTAGAGAATGATTTACAAATATAAACCCTAAACTGAGCTTTGTGGTATACACCTGTAATCCCAGAGTATGGGAAGCTAAGGCAGGAGGATCACAAGTTCAAGGCCAGCCTGGGCTACATAGCAAGGCCCTATCTCAAATAAACAAGCAAAATATATAGCCCTCAGTATCACCTGGGAACTCATTAAGAATATATATTTCTCATGTCGCCAGGAGGTTCCTGAAGGGGTGACTGAGGACCTTTGCTCACCCAGTCCGAAGGGCAGCTGGCAGCTTGAAGCTCCCAGACTTTGATCACAGGACAGGGATTCTGAGGGTGTGTCAGAAAGAGGCATAAAGAGACTTATTAGGCAGAATTTAAAAAGTACTCAAAGAAATTGAATGTGGGACCTCAAGAGGGTGAGCACGTCCTTGTGACCTCAAACTTGGTATATTTATGGGATTTAGGGGGTGGGAATCTGTGGCACTTGTGAACCTATGGAAAGAAGAGATTCAATTTACAGATGAAAAGAAACAGCTTCTTCCTACAGGGAAAGTGCAATGGCCCCTTCATAGGTGACAGCTATCACAGGTAGCACATCCATAGCAAAACCTCATTTGAGGCAAACATGGACGATCTAGTACAGTCCTGGACCGGATGCTCATTATCATGGAAAGCACTGGAAAGGCCCATTTATAGGTAGAAGGGAATGGCCAAGGCTTATTACGTCTCTAAGGACCTTAGAAATTTTTCTTAACTGGGCTTGTATCCTGAAGCTGTAGTTTTTATTAAAAGAGCAATTTTTAAATTATGATTTTCCTTGTCCTCTTTCTATCTATCTATATTTTTTCTATCCTAACTCAGTTGTACAGGACTTGAAACTGAATGTGGACTCCCTTTTACATCTGTGGGTTTTTTTTCTTGTTTTTTTTGGTTTGTTTGTTTGAAACTGAGTGTCGCTATGTAGTTCAGGCTGGTCCTAAACTCACTAGGTAGCTCAGGCCTTGAACACTCAGCAGTCCTCCTGCCACAGTCTCCAAAGTGTTGGGATTACAAGTGTGTACCACCACACCCAGCTATCTGCATATGTTTTTTTTTTTAATCCATATCAGGGATTGAACTCACGACCATGCGCTTGCAAGGCAGGCGCTTATGCCGCTGAGCTAAATCCCCAGCCCCCTGCATGTGTGTTTTAATGAGCTTTGCAGATAAAATTCCAGAATCACTAGTATACAAACCTGTTTGGTTTGGGATCAGACAGTCCTGGCCTCTAAAATTGTCTTGGTTCTGCCTTTCACTATTTGGAAGGCCTAGAACAAAGCATTTGCCCTACTCGATCCTTAGTTTACACACTTGTAAAATGGAGTCAAAAGGTATAGTTACCTAACAATGTGTTTTATTGATTCGACTGAACTTTTTGAGTGCCTGTCATGTGGTAAGTAGGCTGTTAGATTTGAGGATTAAGGCAATGATGTATGAAATTTATCACAACACTGGCACATATTAAACACTCAGAAAATAGCAGTTATTCATGAAGGAGAAAGAGCCTGTAAACAGAAAAATGCTAGATTAAATTAATCTGGGCCCTGCCTCTGACTCACAGCCATATCATCAGAATTTATCAAAGAGTCTGGTACAGGACAGAGCTTGGCAAATATTTGATAAATGTATATGCGAAAGTCAGAGATTAATAGTAATATAGTTCTGCTTCCTCTTTGAGCTGTAATTAGGGCTGATCTTTCAGCAATAAGGCATGTACTCCAATAAGCCTTCTCCTCTTACATTCCTGTATTTCACTCTGTCTAGTTGTTAAAAGGTAACTCTCTTCGTAGTCGTGTGTTGGCAGAGGTCTGAAATGTGGTAGGGTAAGAAGTCTGCCTTAAAAGAACAAATGAGCACTTCAAACAGCATAGAAATATGCAAGAAATTGTGCTGGGTTAGAGGTCAAGAATTTTGTCCTGATAGTTCTATGTTGTTTGGCTCTGGCTAGTCCATTCTTTTTTCAGATCCTCAGTCTCCTGATCTGTAAAACAAGACTTACCCCATGTACCCCAACCTAGTGCCAGGAGCAGAGAGGTCAACCTTTATACCGAAGTTTTAAGGATGTTTCATACAACCTTAAATATATTGCCTCCTTGTCTTACCTCTCAGGATGAATTACTGAAAACAGCAAAGGAGATATAATAGCTATCTCCCTTTGTAAGACTTAAGACACTGTAGAAATTAAATAGAATTTCTAACTAGATAGGTCACATAACTTACACTGTGGAAACAATGACTTGAAATTCTTGCTATTCAAAATGTAGGCTGAGGACCAGCAACACTGGTATCATTTGGCATCTTGGGTAGAAATGGAGAATCTTGGATCCCACCCAGATCTACTAACTCAGAATCTGCACTTCAGAAACACCCCCAGGTGCCTTGAATGCACAATACAGTTTGAGAAGCACCGCTGTAAATCAGCCTTATGGATACACATACCAGAGAGATTATGAACATTATCTTCCACTCCTTCGTTGTACAGTACCCCAGACTCTAGAGACTTTCTAAAAGGCAGAGGTTTATGTCATCCAGAAGCCCATGGCTGTAACCACAAGGACATCCTCAGCTCAGCACTCAAGGCCCTGCCACCTGACCACTGCGGTCCCTGCTGCTCGGGGCCTCCCCACCTGTGCTGGCGGAATCAGTCAGCTGATCAGCTCCTCTTCTCAGGCTATTTTCCCACTTCCTGCAGCCTCAGCTCAGGGAGTGACATCGTTGATCCCTGAGCACTTGTCTAGGTGCCTTTTTAGTTGCTACTGGTTGACTATGAGCTACGATCAGCCAATTGAGATCTCCATCTTCTGAAGCACTGTAGTGATGTCTCCAGGAACCTAGTTCCCTGTCCCTTGAGAATCTCCTTGGTCCTCTTGTGTCCTCAATGAAACAATTCAGTCAAGACACATAGGTGGCCATACAGAGGTACAGGGTAGAATTTACTGTAAAGTAGGTGTAGGGAGAGCTATATCATCTGGTGAGAAAGCAGGCAGTGCCACAAAGACATTTGTACAAAGTGTGAGTTTGGACACTTTGTGCACACATGAGTTATTCCTAAGAGCTGAGGGGGTGGAAGGGGTGGTGTATACCTATAATCCAAGCTCTCTGCAAGGCTGAGGCAGGAGAATCACAAATCGGAGCCTAGCCTGAGCAGCTTAGTAACCGAGAAAGAGACACTTTCTGAAATTTAAAAAAGAAAAGAAAAGAAAAAATTTCAAGCTGGGTGTAATGGTGCATGCCTGTGATCCCAGCACTTAGGAGGCTGAGGCAGGAAGATCTTTGTGAGTTCAAGACCAGCCTGAGCTACAAAGTTGAAGGCTGGCCTGAACTGCAGAGCAAAAAACTTTTTTAAAGAGCTGAGGATATAGCCCAATCCAATGACCTAGGGTTGAATCTCAAGTACTGCAAAACAATAGCCCACAAAAAATAAAAATAAAACCAAAAATATCACACACACACACACACACACACACACACAGAGTTACTCCTGGTACTCAGGGAACTTGGATAATTACGATGCTTAGAAGGTTTTTGGAACTATAAAATGTCCTCCTGTTCTTTCAGATGGTCAGTGTTCTTTTAGGGGCTGTAACCGTGGAAGAAACTTCTGTTTCCTTTGTAGATATCATTGGGTTAAAGGTATAGTAACCAGGAGTGCTGTATGACTTGTTCTAGAAATGGAGGCCCTGTGCATTTGACCCTGAGACCTAATGAATGACTATAAGGATAATATGCATTGAGGGCTTTCTTTATTAACTGTGACAGCCAAACCATGCTGTTTATACTCCCTCTTTGTCCCTCCACCCCTTAATGTCTAACTACCAGCCTGACAGTCATTTCCTGCTTTTTATTATAGTGTCTTTTTTGCCCGACTGTGAACTCCTTAAGGATAGGAACCAGGTCTGGTTTACTCATTTACCCATCAGGCCCTCACACACTTGTCAGGCACTATGTACTTAGTTTATCTGATGTGACTAATGATTTGTAACATGTCTTCCCGACCTAACTTTGTACTTTTTTGATTGTGAAATCCCAGAAGGTAGGGACCTGATATTTATTTCCTTCTTCTCACGAGCTTCCATGTGTCTGGGGACAATAGGCACTTGTTCACCACACAAGCTGACTGGTTCAGCTCGTAGCATTCCCAAAATGCCCACGTAGTCTTGGTTCAGAGGGTTGCAAAATCCTAAGCAGGGAAAGGATCAGGTTTTAGGGTAAATTATCTCAAGGCTGGACTAAGATTTAGTGGCTTCTAAAAAAAGCTCACAAGGTTTAAAGTTAGGACCTCAAGTCTATTCCTGAAGTTTCTGGCCTGCATATAGGAGCGCATACAGGTGGGTGCTACAACTGTGTCTATGGGTGAATAAGTTAATTTGGACTTCTGAATGTAACCAAATGCTGACCATCGGATAAAAGAACCCAGAAAAAAGAAAGAAAGAAAAAAAGAGAGAGCCAGGGAGAGTTGAAACCAAACGTCACATCATATTAAAGATGAAGTTCTTTACCTTTATCCACAAGGCCTGCAGAATGTGCCCCAGCCTGCCTGTCCAGCTTTGCCTCTTCCCCTCCCATACATACTATATTTGTAGACCCAAAGCCCAGCCCCTGCTGACCTGCTCCAGTGCCTTCACACAATCGGTTCTGTATGCACAGAATCCTCTTCTCTCTTCTTGTAACCTAGTGAGTCTTTCCTGTCCTTCAAATCCCAGGTCAAGCCCTACCTGTGTTAGGAAGCCTGCCCTGACTCCTCCCACTGACTTGGCCTGGAAACCTCTCAGGCATCATCCCTTTTTCTGTGGTGCTGGGGACTGAACCTAGGGACTCGTGTGGTGCTTTTCTACCAAACAATGCCGCTGACCTAGCTATACTACTTTTCATGAGTATTAACCATATTTTTCCCTGTTGTCTGTCTTCTCCCCCATTAGACTTGAATACTTTGGTGGCAAGAACTAGGTCTTACTCACTTTGGTATCCTTATTGTTCTGTGTAGAGCACAACACAAAGGAGACATTTATTAGGCACATGATCCAGTAGAAAAGAATTGAGAGTAAACAGTTACTAGTGCTGGACATGGCAGTGCACACCTGTGATCCCAGCACTCAGGAAGTTGAGGCAGGAGAATTGCTGTGAGTTTGAGGTACGTTTGGACTACATAGTGAGTTCATAACCAGCCTGAACTACAACAAGACAATGCCTCAAAGACAAACAAAAAAACAAACCAACAATAAAGGGTACTATTAGTTAGGGAATTTGCCACCCAAAGAATTCCTGGTTTAGGAAGGGCTTAGCATGATATTGGTATTTGTTGGAGAATAAATTATTTATGTGCATCTAAACTTCCAGGAAAGGGCTAGACTAGTGAATAGATGATAAACCAGGATGCCCCAAGAAGTGGAATTTTGCACACACATGTATACACACGTCTGTGCCAGATATACAATTTGTAGGATGTGAACAGATGAACCTTAATAAAGGGTATCCTGCAGACGAGACCCCAAGAAAACGTGCACATGAATTACTAAATCTGGATCAGTTGCCAGTTTGGGGAATCAATTTAATTCTAGAACATGAAGCAAGTAAGTCATTCTTCTGTCTAAGCTTCAGTTTCTCATCTGTAAAATGGGAATAATAACATCCAGAGTGTGAGGTTCATAGGAAGGCTATTTTTTGGAGAGTTTTTTAAAAAACAATTGTATCCTCTTAGCCTATTAGAAGAGCCTTATGTATATACCATAAATATATAGTAACCCAAAGAACCCTCACTAGAATGCTGTGAGGTAAAATTATAATGCAAACTTCATATATAAAGAAACTGAGGTACAGAAAAGTTGGATCTGGGAGTAAACCTAGACAGACTGGTTTGCTTCAGACTCTGTGCTATCAGTGAAGCAGGAGACTGCACGGAATCTCACAGAACCGACAAGACATGGAGTGATAGGTCAGAGCACGGTTTACTGCCAGGGTCCCTCATGCAACTAATGTCCACTCAAGAGCCCCAAAACAATGCCAATTTCACTTTTGTATTGTTTCTCTCATACAGGCCATTTTCCTTTGGAAATCAACACAAAATGAAGCCACAGAAGCAAAAGAAATCATTTAACAGGAAAAGGAGGCAGGAACTTCCCAGGGGCATTTCCAAGTCTGCTGTGCTCCACTGACGTTTAAGTCACAGCTGAACCCGGCACGACCAGCGCCAAAATCATGAAGCTCCTCCGGGAGCTCAGCTACCATCAATTTAACAATCAGCTTAGCTGTTAACCCATAGATGTCCAGCCTCATCCCAGGAGGTGGTCTCCGCTCTCCTAAGTATGACTACACTCTAATTATGTGATAAGAACATAATTATGAGAACAGGATGATACCTAATGCATACCGACTGCACAACATATATTAAGAATAAGAAAGGTAATTCAGTGCTTGTGGTTGATGAGAAGAAAGAAAATGGGTTAATATTAAGAGAAAATATTACCTTGTTCCTTTTTAGAATGACTTATCTTTCAACTAAGGTGTTTGCTTGTGGTTGATTTACAGCCTAAAGTCTGGGCTATCTTTTTTTTTTTTTTTTTCTGTCTTTTTCCTTTTTTATCGGTACCGGGGATCGAACTCACGACTGCCTGCTTTCAAGGCAGGTGCTTATGCCGCTGAGCTAAACCCCCAGCCCCAAGTCTGGGCTATCTTAATCCACCTAAAGATAAAGTGCTCTGTCCTCTCCTGAAAAGTTGGGATAAGTTCTTAGCACTTGAGCTGGAGGACGTTTGAAGGACACCAGAATGGCTGGCAGTTTATTCCCTCCAGTCAGACCATGCACTGGGCCCTGGCCACAGAGATAAATGAAACCCAGCAGTTGCTTTCCAGGAAATCTCAGCTTAATTGGGAAGCAAATAAAAGGGATAACACCAGAATCTAAGCCCAGAAAGGATGAAGAGCTTCGTGATGGAAGGGACAATCAGGAAAGGCCTTCCAGAGGAGGTGGCACATAGATCTAATATTAGACGGCAAGAAGAAGGCATATCTGAAAAAAGCAAGAAAAGACTGGTTGGCCGAGGAAAAACCAGGAACAAAGATACAGAGTTACTGGCTGCAGTGGCTCACACCTGCAGTCCCAGTTACGGAGCAGGCCAGCGCAGGAGAATTGAAAAGTCCAGGCCAGCCTAGACAATTCGGTGAAAGCCTGTCTCCAAATAAAAACTAGAAGGGATTGGGGATACAGTTCAGTGGTAGAGTGCCCCGGGGTTTGATTCTCAGTGCTGCAAACAAACAAATACATAGAACTATGAAATAATATGTAGGAGCCCACTTCTGCAGCGCTAGCGCAGAGCTGGAGGATATGGAGTGAAAGTTTTGATAACCACGGTACAGACAGAGGCCAAGTGGGCGAGTGGCTGAATTACCTAAACGATGATCTGGCCCTTGTCCTATAAGAAATGTGATACCTAAACAGGACTATAATATGGTTTAGAAAGATAATTTTGGCAAAGGCAGGAAGAATGAAAGTTTGAAGTTGGCCTGGACAATTTAATGAAAAACCAGTCTCAAAATAAAAGTTTGCGGATATAAGGACAACGAAGGAAAGTATTCTCTAGTACTCAGGGAAGAAAAACCTGTTCCTAGCATTATTCACACTAGCCCAAAAAAACATATAAATGAATGTCTATCAGCTGGTGAACTGATGAGTAAAATGTGGTATATCCATGCAATAGAATATTATTCAGCCACGAAAGGAATTCAGTCCTGATACATGCTGCGACATGGATGAGCCTTGAAAACAACACTAAATAGAAAAAACCACACACAAAAGGCCATATATTTGTGCTGCATGTCCAAAATATGTAATCTACAGAGCTGGAATGTAAATTAGGGCTGGGGATATAGCTCAACAGACACAAGTGCCTGCTTGGCAAGCACAGAGTCTTGAGTTCAATTCCTGGTACCAAAAACAAAACAAAATAGAATGTAGATTAGTGGTTGCCAGGGAGTAGAATGCTGGCAAAAATAGAGACCGAAGTTAGACCTGAGTTTCTGAAATTGGTGGTGATGGTGTCACTCGGCTGGGTGTGAGAGGCTGAAATAAGGAACCTGTCTCACCCTTTTAAGAGCCTAAATTTACAGGTTTATTGCAAAGTGACTTCTGAAAATTTTTAAAAAGTGAGGTTCTTTTTTTTTTTTTGGAAAGGAAAAAGGCTTGATTAAGTGTCCTGAGGGCTGGGGATTTAGTTCAGTGGTGTAAGCACCTGCCTGCTGATCCCCGGTACCAAAAAACAATCGAAAAGTTCGATTTTCTTTACCTTGTTTTTATTTCTCTTACCTTACCTCATTTCTACCCCTCAGACTGTGGTCCTTTTTTTTTTTTCTTTTGGTCCCTTATTTTTAAGGGGTTGCAGAAGGCCTAATGGCCTGACTTTTTATGCAACTGCTTCATGGGTAAGCAGGGGCATTGATCCTGCCTCACTAGACACTGAAAATCTCATCTTTACAATCTATGAGAGGCATAGAAATATCTGGTTCTGTCTTCTTGATCTGTTCTGCCAGTCTGTTTCATTGGAGAATGGCAAAAGGGTTAAGAAAATACCAAATTGTCTGGCTTTGATGTTAGGCTGGTAATCAAAACTTTTTATGGCTATAAATTGTAGGTGCAGCTGGCGACTACAAGCAGGGGGTGGTGCAGAACTTGCCCCCCATTTTAATATTTAGCCTAGCTTTTAACTTAACATTATTATTGTTATTCTTTCTATATAAAATTTGGTTTACTTTTCTAAAAGGAGGGCCACTAAAGAGAAGAATGTTCCCATGCTCCCAAGGAAGCTGTGTGATCCTGGAAAATGACACAGCTGTATAGGAAAAACTAAGAGGCTCTGTCCATGGCCTCAAAAGCATTGCCTTCTTTTAGTACAACATAGACTTACTGATGCCTGTCCCTGGAGTTCAAAATGTCCCAGCTTAGGAGGTGAGTGATCTCTGGAGTTGTAGGATCCTTTCGAGAGGTTCCCTCATGTCCTGTGTCCTTGTTGACCTTAGAGGCCCAGGACCAAAATATTGGCTGTCTTTTTAGCCCAGGTATCTTTTCTAGCTTTGGTCATCAAGCCTTACTTGTTGAACACCCAGAAGGTCAGTTATACCAGTATTGAAGTGAGAGTAGTAGGCTTAACTATCGTGATCTCATGTGGACATCAGACACTTTGAAATATGAAGGACATCCAAAAAAAACCCTGCTACTTTTCCAAATTAATCATGATTGTCTTAGAAGTCAAATTCCTATAGAATGTCTTTGTTTCTTTTGAGACAGGGTCTCACTTTGTAGTGCAGGCTGCCCTTGAGCTCATTATATAGTCCAGATGGGCCTTAAACTCACATCAATGAGATCATGCCTCAGCCTTCGGAGTGCTGGGATGTACACATGCCACAGAGATGGATTCCTAAAACAGATTCAAACAGATATCCACAAGATTAAAAATTCCCTTGAAAGTATGAGCCAATGTGAGGACAGAATATCATATATAGAAGACAGAATTACAGTTAGCAATCATAAAATGTTTTTAAAATAGCAAAAGATCATGAAAAATCAATCCAACAGCTACCGGATAATGCAAAGAAGGATAGCACAAGGTGGTCAGGGTCAGTGAAAAAGCAAGAGAGAGCACAAATGACCTGTTTGTCAAGCAAGCAACTTTCCAGGCAGGGAAAAAGAATTTGACATACACATAAGTGATATATACAGACTCCAACTTGTGATAATAAAAAAATCTATACCAAGGCATATTGTAGTCAAGATTCTAGAAATTCAATACAAGAACTGAGTATTAAAAGCTGTTAGAGTTGTGCATGGTGGCACATGCCTGTAGTTCCAGCACTCAAGAGGCTGAGCCTGGAGGATGACTGTGAATTCAGGGCCAAGCTGGGCTACACAATGAGACCTTGTCCATAAATAAATAAATAAATAAATAAACAAACAAACACTGTTAGAGGAAATAAATAAATCATCTATAAAGGAAAAATCAGAATCATAGCAGACTTTTCAACACAAACCCTCAAGTCAAGGAGAGCTTGAGTAAAGTATTTCAAATTTTGAAAAAAACAACTTCCAACCTAGACTGATGTACCACACAAAACTATCTTTCAAAATTAATGGAGAAATAAGATACTTCCATGGCAAAGAACACCTGAAGAAATTCATGACCACCGAACTAGTGCTCCACAATGTCCTAAAAGAGATGATACGGACTACAACTTCATGAATCCCAACAGAATGAATCCACCTGGCAAGGCAAACAACTAAACAGAGGGGAAAAAAATGAAGCCAACAAGAGGAAAATAACATGACAAACATAGTCAATACATGTCAGTTATAACCATCAGTAAATAGTTTCAATTCACCAATCAAAAGAAACAGAATGGCAGGATGCATCAGGAAGTAAGAGCCAACAATATGCTGCATACAAGAAATACATTTAATTCAAAAAGAAATTCATAGACTGAAAGTCAAAAGAAGGGAAACAGTACTCCACAGGACAGAAAAATGGAAAAAACCAAGCGTAGCTATTTTATTCAAAGACAAAGTGGATTTCAAGCCAAGACTGATTAAGAGAGACAAAACAGGTCACTACATCCTTGTAAAGGGAACAATTCAAGAGGAAGAGATAACAACCATAAAATATATGCAACAAATAGCAGCAGACTCAACTGTTAAACATTAAACATGTTAATGGACAATGAAAAATTAAATAAATATAATTATAATGTGAGATGCTGATACTTTGCTGTTACAAACAGACACATCAACGTGGCAAAAAATCAACAAAGAATTGTCAGAACTGAACCAAACTTCTGAACAAATGTACTTAGTAAATGTCCACCCCACAACATCAGAATATACATTCTTCAACAGCATGTGGGATGTTCTCCAAAATAGAACACATACTAACTTATAGAACATGCTTAAGTAAATGCCAGAAATGAGACCAAAGTGCAGTGAAATTGGAAATCAATGACAAAGAAACCACAAGAACTTCATACACACACACAAATCAAATAACACCTTACTGAACAACTACTGAGCCAAAGATGAAATTAAAGAAGAAATTAAACAGTATCTACAATTAAATGATAATGCTAATACCACATACAGAACTTATGGGACACAATGAAAGGAGTTCTATGAGGGAAATTTATAGCAGTGAATTTGCATATCAGAAAAAAAGAGTGAGGGGAGTCCGGGAAGATGACAAATGTAAGCAGCAGAGAAAGTGCCTCTCTGAGAGCTGCCATCCACATGCTGGAAAAGAGCAATGTGACGAAGACATGAGGGAGGGAGGCGGGTTTCCTGGACCCAGAAAGAATCTGAAGTGGGGACTGAAGCCCATGGAGAGAGTAAAGAGAGAAACTTTTAGGAAGAAGGATATAGCCAGTGGTGCCTTCTCCCTGAGATGGGACCCACTGCATGACAAGAGAGGTTCAAACTGTGGATGCATGGCCACGGTGATGGTGATGGCTGGTGACCCCGGAAGCCTCTGCAGAGAAACACAGAGTGGAGGGAAGCCGTGGATGTGAAGGACTACATTGACTGGGGGTGAGTGCAGGGGTCTTGCTCTTGCTGTGGGAGAAAACAACTGACCTGGAGCCACCTTGGAGATGGGCCTGAGATCAGAACACAGAACTGCAGCTAGATCCCTCTGGTGGCTGCCAGTACGGCCCAAGCCTGTGGAAGGTGCTTGGAAGAAGGTCAGCCAAATGTGACTGACTAGTCACGATCAGGAAGTGCAGGCCGACCGAGAGTATACACTACCCCACCAAAAAGCTACTTCTGGCTTGCTGGGATTGATTGACACAAATCAGGACTCTGTCTCCACAGGTTGTCTGCCAGTGAAAGCAGAGACAAACCAAACCTGGACAAACCTGGAAGCAGACTTTTTTTTGTTTTCTTCCCTTTCTCTCACATTTGTCTTTGGTTTTTAGTTTTTGAGTTTTTTTCTTATCTTTATTTCTCCTTCATTGTTTGATCTTATTTTTATATAAGTATAAACATGGTTTCTCCCCTCCATGTGGCTCTGTTCTCTTCTTTTCATCTCTTCCTTTACTCTTTTCCTCCAGTCTTCTACACTGATTTTTCAAAGTTAGCACGATCCCCTTTGGTTCTCCAACCTTACTTCTAATCTCTTCCTCTTTTTTCAGTTCTCTATTTTCTCCTTAAACTATATTAAATTTTAATCCTCAAAGGCAAAATGGACATATCATTGTATGCAGCATATAATTTTTTGGTTTGTTGTAGATTTTGTTATATAACCACAAATTTAGTTTATATGGTTAAAAGTAACAAACTAAGGGTTATCTGAGTATGTCATTCTCTAGGCTGTGTTTAATGCTATTGACATAGTTATTCTAAACAGATGTTTGTCTTGGTATTCCATGACTGAGATTGACTAAGGGTCACCGAAAATGATGTGGCACAGTGCCAAAGAACCAGGGCCTAGGCTAAACAACTTCCTATCTCCAAAGTGAAGAGGTCAGATCTTCTAACAAACTCAAAACTCAAAATGTAGCTATGCCTAGAAGATACTTCAGAGAAGTAGTCATCACCTAAAGGTCCTAAATACTAGCAATAAAGCAATCCATCATAGGCAATTTACAAGCATCATCCCAGGAATTTAACTTAAAAAAAGAAAAAAAAGAAAATCAGAGGGCAGTTAAACAAAATGCAACCCCAGATATCAAGTTCACCAAAAACAAAGCTAGGGACAATGATGTGAGACAAAGCAGTTGAATGAGGCTCTGGAAAAAATGAAATCAGAAATAATATCTCAGATAACTAGAGAGATGATGTCCAAAATAAAGACCAGGCTTAGGGACATTAGAGTAGATACAGACAAAAAATTAGGCTTAAGAAAATCATGGAAGTTTAGGAAAGAAATGCAACTCACAGAGCAGATTCAAGCAGATACACAGGACAATAAAAATGCCATTGAAAGTATTTGAAGTAGATTAGGCAACTGTGAGGATAGGATCTCAGATATTAGAGACAGGCTTGCAGTCAGTGATCAGGAAAAGAAAGATTTCTTTCCCCAGCTACTAAGGGCTAGGCTGGGGATTTTGTTCAGTGGCATAAGCACCTGCCTGGAAAGCACAAGGTCATGAAAAACAAAACACTAGCAAGGGACCATAAGAAATCAATCCAGCAGGTGGTAGATGAGACAAAGAATAAGTGAAGATTAGTTGGAGACTCCTTCCCTGTCAGAAGTAACGGAAGCACTACACCTTTACAGCCACCAACCACCTCATCAGCTTAATTTGTTGTTGTAGTCAGGGGCTGCGCAGAGAACAACTAGAATCAGGACATGGAGTTTATAATATTATTTTTATAATGGTCACCAGGAGTTAACACAAGAAAATGCAGGAAATCTATCTGCAGCACCAAAGACATAGAATATTTAGTCAAGGGCCTAAATCCCACAGCAATGTCCCACATGAGTCCAGATGAAAACCCAGAGCTCATGGCAAGGCCTCCCACGAGTCCAACTGGAGGTCCAGAGCCCACAAGAAGGACTCACGCCAGTTTCTTTACGGATCTGTGCTGGGAAGGCCCAAAGGTCAGTGGTGGAAGCCAGAAAGTCCGTGCCAGCAGGGTGAAGGAGCTGTGCTGGTGGGATAAGGGTTCTACACTGGAGCCGAGAAGTCACACTCACAACAAAGACCACAGCTGTCCTGAAAGGCACCACAGCCATCCTCAGCAACACAGAGGCCCTGAGCTCGTCCAATGACAAGCACAGTCGGGTACATGCCAGGAAGTCAGCATGACGAGTTCATCCTGGAGACCAAGTGGTACACATCTCCCCCTCCGGAGGCAGGAAGCAATGCTCGATGTGAGGACCAGAGCTCCTCCAGGAGAACCTAACGGCTCAAACAGCAACTCATAGAAGAACCCACGATGCCTCAATGCAATAATGCAATAATACAATAATACAATAATACAATAATACAATAATGCATTCATTTTCAAAGAAGTAGAAAAAAATACAATAAGGCAATAATGCCTTAATGCCTTAGCACCCTCCTTCTTCTCCACCTATTTATGCTGGCAACTTTCCTCAGATGGAGCATCTTCGCTCAGTGCCATGCTGATGTAATCCAGCTGGTGTTAAGTTGACCACCAGTTCTTTTTTTTTTTTTTTTTTGTCTTTTTCGTTTTTATCGGTACCAGGGATCGAACTCACGACTGCCTGCTTGCAAGGCAGGCGCGTATGCCGCTGAGCTAAATCCCCAGCCCAACCACCAGTTCTTAATCCATAACATTTGTTAACATATTCAGTCTGTTTACTGAGGCACTGGTGAGTTCCAGAGCTAAAATTCAGCCCTTGCTAGAGGCAGTGCTGGAGTCCTGGATCTGAGAGGGGTAGACAGAAGGAAGTGTTAGTGGGCTGGTTCAGCAGTGCACAGGATGGCAGCTGTTTCTCTGGCTCAGACTCCTAGAATGCTGGACAAAGCAGAGTTTTTTGGAAGAACCTCATCTCACTATGGTTACTTTTGCTTTTCCACTTTTGTTATATTATTATTATTAGAGTATTTGAATATTGGTACCTTTTATTAAAAAGGTCAATTTGAAAAAAAAAGATTGATTGGAGTCAATGAAAACGCAGGAGATACCACAAATGGCATTAAGAAAATATTTGCAGACATCATGGTGGAAAACTTCCCTGGTAGGGAAAAAGAATTTGACATACAGCTAAATGAGGCATAAAGAACTTCAGTTAGCCATGACCAAAAAAAAAAAAAAAAGTCTACAGCCAGGTATATCAGAGTCAAGATTCTAGAAATTCAACACAAGAATAGAGTCTTTTTTTTTTTTTTTTTTTTTTTTTTGTCTTTTTCGTTTTTACCAGTACCAGGGATCGAACTCACGACTGCCTGCTTGCAAGGCAGGTGCTTATGCCGCTGAGCTAAATCCCCAGCCCCTAAGAATAGAATCTTAAAAGCTGTTAGGGAATAGGAATAAATCACCTATAAAGGAAAGTCCATCAGAATGACAGTTAACTTTTCAGCACAGGCTTTCAAATCAAGAAGAGTTTGGAGTGAAGTATTCCAAGTTCTAAAGGAAAACAACTTTCAACCCAGATCTATGTACCCTGCAAAATTATCTTTAAAAACTGATGGATAAATAAGATATTTCCATGACAAAGAACATCTGAGGATATTTATGATCACCAAACCAGCACTCCAAAATGTTCTGAAGGATATTCTAGCAAGGCAAACAATTAAAGAGGGAGAAAAAGGGGAGGGGGAGCCAACAACAGAAAAGTAACATGACAAGGATAAGTCAATACATATCAGTTATAGCCATCAATGTTAGTGGTCTCAATTCACCAATCAAAAGACACAGACTGGCAGAATAGATCAGGAAGCAAGATCCAACAATAAGCTGCATACAAGAAACACATTTAATTCAAAAATAAATTCATAGACTAAAAGTCAAAGGATGGAAAACAATACTCCATGCAACAAGAACCCAGAAAAAAGCCAGGGGTAGCTATTCTATTTGCAGACAAAGTGAATTTCAAGCCAAGACTGGTTAAGAGAGATAAAGAAGGTCACTACATCCTCATAAAGAGAACAATCCAAGAGGAACAGACAAGAATCATAAATATATGTGCAACAAATACCAGTGTACCCAACTATATAAAACAAATACTAATGGACATGAAAAATCAAATAAACCCTAATACAGTTGTATTGGAAGTCCTCAATACTTCACAGTCACAAATCAACCAGACAAAAAGTAAATAATGAAATAGTACAACTGAACCAAACTTCTGAACAAATGTATTTAGTAGTGGTAGGCTTTTCCTCAGTTACAAACTTCCTTTGGCACTGGCGAGCGCCTCCTTGAGATCCTTTTGCAAACCCACAAATCAAACCTGCCACTTTTTGCACATGTGCAAAGGCTCCTCCTATCAGCTGTCAATATGTCATTCTGCCTGCCCCTTTAGCTCCCCCCGTTAAGATCCAAATACAAAGTTGTTCCTGAAGCTTCTAAATGGTGACTGTATCTCTTCAGCAGCCCTCTTGTGCACACAATAAAGGCCTGTTTTCCTTCCTTCTGTTATCTCTTCTCTCTTACCCCATGGGAAACTGAACAGTAGATGTCTACAGAGTGTTCCATCCCACATCAGAATACACATTCTTCTCAGCTGCACATGAGACATTCTCCAAAATAGATCACATACTGGCCTTTAGAATATTCTTAAATAAATGGAAAGGAATTCAAATTATCACATGTATACTATCAGACCACAGTGCATTGAAACTGGAAATCCATGGAAAAAGAAACCATAATAACTTCATAAACACATAACAATTAAATAGCACTCTACTGAACAACCAATGGGTCACAGATGAAATTAAAGAACAAATTACACAGTTTTTACAGATAAATGATAATGACAAGACAACATATAAGACAATATAACCTATGGGACACAATCAAAGCAGTCCTAAGGGAAATTTATAGCAATAAATACCCATATAAGGAAAACAGAGCAAGCACCTATAAACAACTTAATGTTGAACCTCAAACATCTAAAAAGAGAAGAGCAGGCTAAACCAAAAGCTCATATGAGGAAGGAAGTTATAAAGATCAGAACAGAAAGTAATGTATTGGAGACTATCAACACAATACAAAGTATGAAGAGTTGGTTCTTTGAAAGATTAAAATTGACAAATCCTTGGCCCGCCTTATCAAAAAAAGGAAAGAAAAGACTCAACTCCATGCAATTAGAAATAAAAAGGATGAAAACACAACAGATCCTGCAGAAATCCAGAAGATCATCTAAACCTACCTTGAAAAATTTTATTCTATCAAGATGCAAAATACAGAGGAAGTAAACAGATTCCTAGATACATATGAATTACCAAAGCTGAACCAAGAAGATATAAAAATTTTAAATAAACCAATGTTAATCAGTGAAATAGAAAATGTAATTGAAAACCTTCCAACAAAGACAAGCCCAGAAGCAACCCACTTGCTTCCCTGGTAAGCAGCCATAGCTCA